TATATATATATATATATAATTATATATATGTATATATATATATATATATATATTATAATAATATATATATATATATATATATATATATATATATATAATATGTTATTATTATATATATTTTATAATATATTTATAATATATATATATATATAATATAATATATAGTAATATATATATATATAATATGTTTATATATATAATTATATGTATATATGTATATATATATATAATATATATATATATATATAATATATGTATTATGTTATATATATGTATATATATATATATATATGTATATATATGTATATATATTTGTATATATATATATTATAATATATATATATATATATAAAATATATTATATGTGTGGTGTGGTGTGTGTGTGTGGTGTGTGTGTGGTGTGTGGTGGTGGTGTGTGTATATATATATATATATATAATATATATATATATATTATTATATATATATTATATATGTTAATAATATATATATGTATATATATATGTATATATTGTATATATATATATATAATATATGTATAATATATATGTATATATATATGTATATATTATATATATGTATATAATATAATATATATATATATGTATATATATGTATAATATCTATATATATGTATATATATATATATATATTATATATATATATATTATATATATATATATATGATATATATATTAAAATTATTTATACATATTTTATACATATATACACATATCACACACACATATGTGTGTGTGTGTGTATGTTTTTGTGTGTGTACACAAAATCATGGTAGGTGCTTATGTAACAGTATAAACTTGAGATTGTGTAACATTATATAAATATCTTTCAGATGTATGGGATGCATGGTGCAGTTGAATGTATGATATGATTGGGTTACAAAAATCTTCATTTATTTACGAAGCACTATGAATGGGTGTCCAGCAAAAGAATACACACCAGCCTTTTTGTACCTGCAGATACTTGAAAGTGGTAGCAGGCAGACTTTCAGTAATTCAGCAACACGCATCTGCATTTATAAAATATCAAACTCAGGTAAAATGCAGTCAACACCTTTATTTTAAGACTTCCAAAGAAAGATTGAAACAAAGGAAAGACATGGAACATCAACCCAGTGATAAGGGTGGCCAACATAGCTATAACTGTAGTTTGAGAGTAAGTACAGTATTTATCTGTTACTATTGCAGTTGTGTTCCCTAGTCCTGTTGCTGTGTGTAAATGATTGTGATGTATCGACTAATGAGTAAACGTGTTGTGAGTTGACTGTGAATATTGGCTATGTAAATACTGCTTTTAATTATAAAGGATACTGAGGTTACAGGTACATTTATGTTTGTGATTTATTTTACATTCCATTTATTGCAGTAGTATATACAAATATATTTTATATAAATGAAAATACATACGTTGTGTGAATGAATTAGGTTGATGCCTAAATATTTAAGGTAATTTAGTTACTTAAACATTCTTTGGATGTTCCTCAGAAATAAAGGATTCATTTGATCAATTTTATGCCATGAATGCAAGATTTTTATTTTATGAAGCATGACATATATATTTATCAACTGTCAACTATGTCAAATGTAATTAGTAATTATGAGATTGTTATAAGGTTGAGATGTAAGATAGTGTTACTATTGTTTAGACTGTGAAATATTTTGTGTTTAATGTTATAAATGTAGCCAGTGAGTATAGCTATTGAAGTGTCATGCATCCTGCAGCACAAATGATACAAGACACTTTTGGGCGCAAAGGAGGCACCTATTAGACTGTGACCTTTTCTTCCCTGTATCAGGATGTGGGTTATAGGTGATGAAGTTGTGCTCCTTTTGGACTCTGGTGGAGAAAGATGTTTAATAAAAGAGCCAAGCAAAAGTGAGTTAAAATTTCATTTTGGTTCCTTTATTTTTTTCTGTATATATTTAATTGTTTCACATAAATGTGTATCTTGGAATAAGTAGATGAAAAAGTATCTTAGAGAAACCTTTCTCAGAAAAATGTGAACAAGAAATAATAATACTCTTTTGTTTATGTTGCTGAATGCAAAGTTTCCTTCGTAATGCAAAAAAGCAAATAAAAATAAAAAAAAAATATGACCTAGCTTGAATGGAGTTTGGCAATACAATTGTTTTGTGGGTTATAATGTATTATAAATACCTGTGTTACATCATACATCAGCAAGTTGAAAACATAATGTCTAAATTTCCATTAACGAAGTCTACCTAAATACGTTGGTAAATTGAAAATTATGGTTGCAGGAAGGAAGGAGAATCTAGAAAAAGCAGTGGAATGTATTTTTTCGTTTATTGGTGTAGGATTTAGTTTCGAATACAGTAACAAACTGTCTCTGCTTGACACATAATTGCCCTGAGAAGTATAGCGAAAGATTGATATCGCTACCCTATTCTCTCAGTAGTATAATAAATAATAAATTACATTGTCAATAACTTTAACAGATAGTAATGTAAACATATTAACAATAAACAAAAACTTCACTCGCACAAACATCACTCGCTTCATTCCTGACTCGATACAAAATAATAAATCATTCCCTGTACAGTGCTATACACATGTCTCTTTGCTGCCCACATATTGTACACTATATTTACACACCGGTGATAGAGGTGACTCTTGCCTCACATACTGAAGCTCTCGGGACAGTCGCAAGTTTCTGGAGGAAACTGCCTGGCGCGATCACTCTTTGCCCAAGAGTCCTTGTGGGGGAAAGGGTGAAGGGAGAGTTTAATGACACTCAGTACCACGACCGCGCCACACAACACGATTTCCACTGGGAATGGAAGTCGTCACGGCTGGTCGTCGCAGTTGGTGAGATTGCGAAGGCAGGGGGATGGGGGTATTAGGTTTGATAATAAAAACGTCGCCGCTATTTAACACGCCAACATAAGGTAGTTCATTGAAGCCTTCTTCCTCGCGGTCGTTGTTGTCGTCTGAGAACACGCACAGCGAGATGGGGCCCGGTGGCGTTTGCTGGAAGAGCACGGGAATGGTAAGCAGTTGAAAATGCCTGCATTCAAGAGCTTGGCCGGCATCAAAGGCCATAAATAAATGGGATTTTCTCTTGCCATAAGTATGAGCTTAGATATGATACGGGTGGAAGGACACATTAGAATTAGCTACATGTAACTGGCTAAAAAGCATAACTTTTGACGTACCTTGAGCGGTTAAAAGTACCGAAGTCTCCGCACAACTTTCAGCTCCGACGGCCAGGGTAGTCGTTACCGCAATTACCGTTAATGTTGCCATGATCCAGCCTGTTGAAGTTCATGCCGATGTCGCAAAAGCCGGGATTGTAGCCGAAGCAAATGCAATATTCCTGTGGGGCAAAAAAAAAAAAAAAAAAAAAAAAAAAATCAAAACCGCAAAATCACGCCAAATTTATTTTCGGACTTATATACTATTATTCTAATATGATTTTTGCTCAACAAATTTCATCGTGAATTTTGTATATTCCCATCACAGTGATATGCAATATATGCGAGCGCGCGCATTTATGCGTGTGCAAGTGCACCCACCTGATTCGTGAGCATCATTGGTTCAGGGCCGAAGTTGAATGAGGTGATGCGCCTGAGGTCTCCTTAAAGTACTGCAGGCAGCGAGGCGGGGCCTTGCAGGGGATTCTCGTCTAAGAAGGTTACCTTGATTTTCCAGCTTTCTAGGATAAGCCAGTGCGGGGAAGGACGTGACCATCATTCTTGTAGGGACCGTTTGAGCTGGTCACGTCAATGTACTGTGAAACAGGAAGCAAACATTACTGTCAGACAAATTATATTAACATAAATATCACCCAGGTAATTAACATCATTAACAGTAAATGATAAATTTAGTAGTACTGTAATCAAGAATCGTTAAAAAAAATATTCAGATATGTGAAAGTGAAGTAGTGAGTAAGGAAACCGAGAGACACTAACTGTGCTGTCCTGTATTGGCGCCGCAGATGACTGGGATTCGACTGCCGGCGTTGGCTCCCATAAAATGAAAGTTGTCGTTGTTACAGTCGCCGTTCACTGGGCCCATAAGATGAAGCTTTCGAACTCCAGCAAGATCTGGCACGTCTGTGGGGCACCGATGAAAGCATTTATTTCATTTCTTCTGATCCATTAACCACATACTTGAAAGCACGTGTTGGTTTGTCACGTATGCATTTTTGACAATATATCTCAATAAAATGGATGATTTATAATGTAAGTTTTATTCAAATAAAGATTATGATGATGGCGTATAAAGGCCAGGTGTTAAATTTAGTGTACTTTTTAATTGGATACAAGTTTGATTTATGCCTAGTAATTTTATAGATCAAGCATGCCTGTTGTGAGTTTTTTCGAGCACTGGTAATCAATCTACTCAAGTACCATTACCAAGCCTTCAGATTTTTCACGATGTAATAATCATACCCATCCTTTAAATTGTGTCCCGATTTCATCTTAACTTAGTGTTTGAAATTTTCTACAGACCGTCTGATATCAGCAGCTGTATCGTGTGCTGTTTTTTTCATTTTTGTCCATTATTTGTATTTTTTTACTTCTGATCCGTAGGGCAATGTGTTTGTGTTCTCCTTTTCACCTCGGTCTTTTCCCTCCTATTCTACACTTTTCCCCTGACCTCCTCTTTTTCAGCCCTTCATTCCCAGCACTATACCTACAGGATTACACAAAACACATGCCCTACGGGATCAAAGTAAAAAAATACAAATAATGACAAAAATGATAAAAACAGCACACGATACAGCTGCTGATATCAGACGGTCTGTAGAAAATTTCAAACACTAAGTTTAAGATGAAATCGGGACACAATTTAAAGAATGGGTATGATTATTACATCGTGAAAATCTGAAGGCTTGGTAATGGTATTTGAGTAGATTGATATCCAGTGCTCGAAAAAACTCACAAAGGCATGCTTGATCTATAAAATTACTAGGCATAAATCAAACTTGTATCCAATTAAAAAGTACACTAAATTAACACCTGGCCTTTATACGCCATCATCATAATCTTTATTTGAATAATAACTTACATTATAATCATCCATTTTATTTGAGATATATTTGTCAAAAATGCATATACGTGGACAAACCAACACGTGCTTTCAAGTATGTGGTTAATGGGATCAGAAGAAATGAAATAAATGCTTTCATCGGTGCCCCACAGACGTGCCAGATCTTGCTGGAGTTCGAAAGCTTCAATCTTATGGGCCCAGTGAACGGCGACTGTAACAACGACACTTTCATTGTCATGGGAGCCAACGCCGGCAGTCGAATCCCAGTCATCTGCGGCGCCAATACAGGACAGCACAGTTAGTGTCTCTCGGTTTCCTTAACTCACTACTTCATTTTCACATATCTGATATTTTTTTAACGATTCTTGATTACAGTACTACCTAAATTTTATCATTTACTGTTAATGATGTTAATTACCTGGGTGATATTTATGTTAATATTTGTCTGACAGTAATGTTGCTTCCTTTTCACAGTGTACATTGACGTTGACCAGTCAAACGGTCCCTACAAGATGATGGTCACGTCCTCCGCACTGGCTTATCCTAGAAGCTGGAAAATCAAGGTAACCTTCTTAGACGAGAATGACCCCTGCAAGGCCCCGCCTCGCTGCCTGCAGTACTTTAAGGAGACATCAGGCGCCATCACCTCATTCAACTTCGGCCCTGAACCAATGATGCTCACGAATCAGGTGGGTGCACTTGCACACGCGTAAATGCGCGCGCTCGCATATATGCATATCACTGTGATGGGATATACAAAATTCACGATGAAATTTGTTGAGCAAAATGATATTAGAATAATAGTATATAAGTCTGAAAATAAATTTGGCGTGATTTTGGGTTTTGATATCTTTTTTTTTTTTTTTTTTTTTTTTTTTGCCCCACAGGAATATTGCATTTGCTTCGGCTACAATCCCGGCTTTTGCGACATCGGCATGAACTTCAACAGGCTGGATCTTGGCAACATTAACGGTAATTGCGGTAACGACTACCTGGCCCCGTCGGAGCTGAAAAGTTGTGCGGAGACTTTCGGTACTTTAACCGCTCAAGGTACGTCAAAAGTTATGCTTTTTAGCCAGTTACAATGTAGCTAATTCTAATGTGTCCTTCAACCGTATTCATCTAAGCCTCATACTTATGGCAAGAGAAAATCCCATTTATTTATGGCCTTTGATGCCGGCCAGCTCTTGATGCAGGCATTTTCAACTGCTTACCATTCCCGTGCTCTTCCAGCCAACGCCACCGGCCCCATCTCGCTGTGCGTGTTCTCAGACGACAACAACGACCGCGAGGAAGAAGGCTTCAATGTGAACTACCTTATGTTGGCGTGTTAATAGCGGCGACGTTTTTATTATCAACCTAATCCCCCCATCCCCCTGCCTTCGCAATCTCACCAACTGCGACGACCACCGTGACGACTTCCATTCCCGTGGAAATCGTGTTGTGTGGCGCGGGTCGTGGTACTGAGTGTCATTAAACTCTCCCTTCACCCTTCCCCCACAAGGACTCTTGGGCAAAGAGTGATCGCCAGGCAGTTCCTCCAGAACTTGCGACTGTCCGAGAGCTTCAGTATGTGAGGCAAGAGTCACCTCTATCACCGTGTGTAATATAGTGTACAATATGTGGGCAGCAAGAGACATTGTATAGCACTGTACAGAATGATTTATTATTTTTGTATCGAGTCAGGAATGAAGCGAGTGATGTTTGTGCGAGTGAATGTTTTTGAGTGTTTATTGTTAATATGTTTACATTACTATCTGTTAAGTTATTGACAATGTAATTTATTTTATTTATTATACTACTGAGAGAAATAAGGTAGCGATATCAATCTTTCGCTATACTTCTCAGGGCAATTATGTGTCAAGCAGAGACAGTTTGTTACTGTATCGAAACTAATCCTACACCAATAAACGAAAAAATACATTCCACCGCTTTTTTCTAGATTCCTCCTCCTGCAACAATTCCAATTACCAACGTGATGTTAGGTAGAACTTCGTTAATTGGAAATTAGACATATGTTTTGCAACTCTGATGTATGATGAACACAGGTATTTTATACATATAACCCAACAAACAATTGTATTGCCAAACTCCATTCAAGCTAGGTCATTTTTTTTATTTATTTATTTATTTTTTATTTTTTTATTTTTTGCTTTACGAAGAAACTTTGCATTCAGCAACATGAAACAAAAGAGTATTATTATCTTGTTCACATTTTTCTGAGAAAGGTTTCTCTAAGATACCTTTCATCACATTTATCCAAGATACACATTTATGTGAAACAATTTAAATATATACAGAAAAAAATAAAGGAACTAAATGAAAATTTAACTCAAACTCTACTTTTGCTTCTCTTTCTATTAAACATCTTTCTCCACAGAAAAGGAAGCACACTTCATCACCTATAACCACAACTCTGATACAGGGAAAAAGGTCAAGTCTAATAGGTGCCTCCTTTGCGCCCAA